CCCAATATGGAAGTCACAGGGGTCCTGTTAAAACGTAAGATGGTGTCAGTCCTTTACTCAGAACTCTCCAGCATGTCTAACTCAGAGTAGAAGCCACACTTCTGCAAAGGCTTATGAAGCTGTGTAAAATTAGCTCTCCACCATCATTGTGATCACCTCTTTAACCTCTCTACCTCCTTGTTCCCTGTGAGTTCCAAACACACTGGCTCCTATCTTGAAACTCGCCATCTGCTTGGAATGTTCCACCCGGTAAGCACAAGTTTGCATGATCACTTTCTTACCTTTGCTCAACTGTCACCTTCGCAGCAGAGCCTCCCTGAACACCTATTTAAAATTTCAGCCACCTTCCCTTGCACGTCACTTCCAGTTATCCATCACTGTTTTGTTTTCTTCCACAGCACTTACCACTCGGGAGCTGATTCACTCTGTGTTTAACGTATGCATGTGCTCATTGTTTTCTCTGCCCATTGGGCAAGGGTTGCTTTTTTTCTTTTTTTGACTATTTTCAGGACTGGTAACGAATATCAGAGATGTTTTGTAAATCATTGTTGGTGACTAAATGTGTGATTAGTAAATAGTGTGCAGAAATATAATCCTTCTTCCCCTGAATTATGGGGTGGAGAGTGAAGTCTGAACAGAAGATGTGAAAGGTAGGTGTCCCTGTTGGGCAGAGTCTGGCAAATTAGATGTTTAGAATTGATGCAACTGATTTTTAAAAAAATAAAAGCTAATGTGAGCTAGTTGCCACAATCATTCACTGATTCATTGTCTAAACATTTATAAAGCACCTATTAGGCAGCCACTCATGTGAGGCTAGGTGTACACTGATGTGCAAAACTTCATGATCTACTGCAGTGCTGTCCAATAGAACTATCTACAAAGGCAAAAATGTTCCTTAAGTTGGATTTTTAAACATTTTTTTGTAGAGATAGGGATCTTGCTATATTGCCCAGGCCGTTCTTGAACTCTTCGCCTCAAGCGATCCTCTTGCTTCTTGTCTCCCAAAATGTGGGATTACAGCTGTGAGCCACTGCACCTGGCCTGTTTTAAAAACATAAAATTTAATCTCTTCTAAGGTGAAGGATTAAAAAAAAATACAACTTAAGTCAATTATGACTCAATAGAAGTGTTTAAAAAACAAACATTTAAAACTTGCCCCCTCCTAATCATTTCACTACATTTTATTACTATTTTTGTTCTTCTGGTTATTTGTGAGTACTCTATCAGTATGTTGGAAATAGAATATAAAAATGTGAAACTCTTTATATTTCTATAAAAATATAGGAACTCTTCCCAACTCCAAGTTCAGTGACATCATTTTGGCAGTTTGAAATTGAGCATGGCCAGGGCCTGGGAAAGAAGGGTGATCTGTCTTGTGGATCCTCAGCCCACGAGGGGGGAAGAGAAGGTTAGGGGTATGGGTTGAGGCGAGGAGGGAGCGGAGATGGCCAGAAGTGACAGTCCATGATTTGTGTGTGCTTAGCTGAGGAGCGCTATTGTTGAACCAAGGCACGAACAAAAATTTTCCGCATGTGAACGCTCATTCATGCAGCCCACAGACCACTGTTTCGACACCTGTTTTTCATGCTTTATACAGACAGCCTTCTTGGACTATAGTAATGCACTTGAATACAGGTGCTAGAACTTGGCTTCCTTTCCACAGCTCATATAAATGTTTCTTCAGGGCCTCTTATACTATGATTTTCCTAGGAGATGGGACCATAGTAGTGGATAGGAAAAAAGGCCTGAATTCTCTCAAATATCAGAGTCTAGTAGGGAAAATGAGAGATTTAATAAGCAGTTTTAATAAA